GGGGAGGGACAGAGGGAGCGGGGACGGAGGGAGGGATGGATGAGGAAGAGGATGGATGGATGAGGAAGAGGATGGGTGGATGAGGAAGAGGATGGGTGGATGGACCATGGATGGATGGAAGTGAAGGAGCAAGAGGATACAGGGATGGATGGATGGATGGATGGATGGATGGATGGATGGATGGATGGATGGATGGATGGATGGATGGATGGATGGATGGATGGATGGAGGTGGAAGAGGAAGAACGGATGACGATGATGATGATGATGATGGATGGAGATGGATGGAGATGGATGGTAATATTGACATCGATTGATATCGATGGACAGTGAAAGATGATGATGACGATGAATGATGATGATGATGGATGATGAAATTGATGATGATGATGATGGACAATGGAAGATGATAGTGATGATGTTGACATTGATGATGAACGATGATGATGTTGACAATGACAATGTTGACGATGACGATGGTGATGAATGGCTGATGATGATGACAATGACAATGGATGATGTTGATGGAATTGATGATGATGACGATGATGATGTTGACGGTGACAATGACAATGGATGACGATGTTGATGGCATTGATGATGACGATGATGTTGACAATGACAATGACAATGGCGCTGACACTGAGGGTGGCCCGTGTCCCGCCCCAGGAAGACGCTGCAGGTGAAGATCGTGGATGACGAGGAGTACGAGAAGAAGGAGAATTTCTTCATCGAGCTGGGGACACCGCGCTGGCTCAAGCGTGGCATCTCGGGTACGGGGACAGTGCGGGGACACTGAGGGGACACTGAGGGGACACTGAGGGTCACGGGGTCACCACGGGGTCACTGGGGTCACCGCTGTCCCTCTCCTCTCCCCACAGCTCTTCTGCTCGCCCAAGGTAGGAGCCTTCGGCCTCGGCCTCGGACCCGTCCCATGACCATGGATGTCCCCATGACCGTGTATGTCACTGTCCCCATGCCGTGTCCTCGTGTCACATCCCGTGACCCCTCAGTGTCCCCATGGCCCCTCGGTGTCCCCATGACCACACTGTGACCCTGTCACCCTGCTGTGTGCCCATGTCCCCATGTCCCTGTGTCACATCCCCATGTCCCCACACCGTGTCCCCATGCATTGTCCTCATGTCCCCACGCCGTGTCCCCCTGCTCATGCTGTGTCCCCTCACATTGTCCCCATGCCATGTCCCATGTCCCCCCGCCCCGCAGTGTCCCCATGGCTTTGTCCCATGTCCCCATGTCCCCACACCATGTCCCCATGCCATGTCCTCATATCCCCATGTCCCCGTGTCCCACACCCCGGTGGTGGCTGCGGTGATGCCCCGGTGACGCCATGGTGGTGGCCATGGTGACATCCCGGTGACACCCCGCCATGGCCCTGGTGACACCGTGGTGGTGGCCCCGGTGGTGGCCGCGGTGGTGGCCGTGGTGACACCCCGGTGGTGGCCGTGGTGACGCGGCGGTGGTGGCCGCGGTGGTGGCCGTGGTGATGCCCCGGTGGTGGCCGCGGTGGTGGCCGTGGTGACGCGGTGGTGGCCGTGGTGACACCGCGGTGGTGGCCCCGGTGGTGGCCGCGGTGGTGGCCGTGGTGACGCGGCGGTGGCCGCAGGGGACGGCGAGCGGCAGCTGTCGGCCGAGGAGGAGGAGGCGCGGCGCATCGCCGAGATGGGCAAACCCGTGCTGGGCGACAACCGGCGCCTCGAGGTGGTCATCGAGGAGTCCTACGACTTCAAGGTGACCCTGGGGACACGGGGACACGGGGGGACACGGGGGGACACAGGGGGACACGGCCTGACCCCGCCCTGTCCCCGCTGTCCCCAGAACACGGTGGACAAACTGATGAAGAAAACCAACCTGGCCACCGTCATCGGCACCCACTCGTGGCGCGAGCAGTTCCTGGAGGC